TTATAAAAAAAAAGATTATTTTATAACACGGATAACTATTAAAGATTAAGGTAAATAAAAGCTTAAAATTTAAAAATAAAATTATTAAAATTTATAAAAAATTAAATATTAAAAGAATAATAAAACCATTTTATTTTTTATAAACTTAAAGTTAAATTAAAATCGGATATAAGCCGATTAAATTTAAATTAATGAAAATAATTAATAATATTAATAAAAAATAAATTAAATACTTTAATATAATTATATAAATAAATAAAACGTCGGTTAAATTTAATAGTTTTAATTTATATAAAATTATATATAATTAACGTTTAATTTTACTTATTAAAATAACAATTTCATTATAAAAAATATTAAATTAAAAAGAAATTAAAATATTAAAAAATTTAATTATTATATAAATTTAAATAATTAAACATTAATTAATTAATATTAATTTAATTTTAAAACTTATTAATAAAAAACGTTAAGTAATAACTTAAAAAAATAATTAATAAAATACTTATAAATTAAAAAAAAAACCTTTAAAAATTAATAATTTAATATTTTTATATAACATTTTTAAATATATTAATATATTTTATAAATAATAATTATAATATAATTAATAAAGATTTTATATAATTAATAATATTTTAAATATAAATAAATATATAATAAAAAACTTAAAAAAAAATAAAATATAAAAATTTATTATTAAAAATAAGTTAAAATAATTTATTTAAAACCATTAAAAATATTAAAAATTAATTAAATTAAAAAATAATAAATGAATTATTAAACTTAATGTTAAAGTTTTTAATTAAAATATTTTAATAGTTAAATAAATTGTAATATTTAAATTTATTAAAGATAATTACGAAATAATTAAATAACTTAAAGTTTAAATTAAAGTAAAAATATTAATAAAAATAAAAGAAAGATATAAAAATTACGTAAACGTTAAATTCGATAATATTAAATTTAAAATTATAAAAAGAAAATTAAATTATTATTTATTAAAAAAAAAATAAGTTAAATATTTAATTCGATTATATTTCCATTATTTAATTACGCCGTAAATATAAAATAAATTCGATTAAAATGTTATATTTATTATCATTAATTTTTTTAAAATTATTATTAAATTATTTATTTTTTAAAAATTTTTTTTAATAATATTTTTCCATTATATTTCTTTTTATATAATAAATTATTTAATGTTATATTTTTAATAATTAAAAGATCTTTATTTTAATTAACATAAAAATAATAAAAATAATTATTTTAAAAAAAATATTATTTTATTATAATAAACAATTTTTATAATTATTATTAAAAAAACCAAGAATTAATTAATAATTAAAAAACGGTTATATTTTAACGTAAATTAATAATTTAAAAAATTTAAAATGTTTTTTATAAATACGACATGGTATTTTATTTAAGAAATTAAAAACTTAAACCATTAAATTTTAATTATAATAAACGTTTTATAATTAAATTATGATTTAATTAATCGAACCATTTTAATAAATATTTACGTATAATAAAAATAACTTATTTATGCTTTACTTTTAAGTAAAATTTACGTAAAGTTTTAACGTTTTTAAAAAGATTTAAAACTTTTTATTAATAATTAACCAACGAAAATACCTGTTAATAATTACACCATTAAAAAATTAAATAAATAAACGTTTAAATAATTGCAATTTATTAATTATTAATTTAACTTTTAAAATTACTTATAAAAATCACTTATAAGTTTAAAAATAAAAAATTACATTTTTTTTATAATATTAATAAATTATTAATATTTTATAATTTAATATTTGTTTAAGTTTTAATTAAACCTTTTAAATACCTTAAAATTAAAGAAAAAATTAAAAATAAATATATTAATATTATTATTATTTTTATTATTACTATTATTATTATTATTTTTAAACGAATTAATTAAGGAATTATAATTTAAAATAAATATATTAATAAAAAAAAAAAATAAAATTAACATCATTAATAAAATAAAAAGATATTATTATAAAAATAATTATATAATAAATAAAAATTAATAACATTATTAAAAATTATAATATAATTGAAAATGGATTAATTAAATAATAAAAATTTAAAATATAAAAAATAAAAGATTAAAAAAATTAATTCGAAAAAAAAAAAAGGATTAAATCGATTAAATTAAATAAAAGAAAAAGGAAAAAAAAGTTATTTTTACAACTTATAAATGTTATATAAAGATTATTTATTAAAAATTTATAATTAAATGTATATATTTATTATATATTTAATACTTTTTAATTAATTATTTTAATTAATTAAAATATAATAATAAAACTTAAAAATGTAATATAAAAAACATTTTTATTAAAATATCTTTTAATTAATTAATTTTTCTTTTTATAATTTAAAATTTATTATTTTTATTACTTTAATTAATTTAATACTTATTTTTAAAATTTAATCATTATTTTACACTTTTTTAAATTATTATTAAATTATAATACTTTATTATTTATATATATAATATCTTTTTATTTAATTAATAAAATAATTAATTCTTTTTTTAAAAAAATTAAATTATATAATTAATAATAATAAATTTACAATTATATTTATATTTTAAAAGATATTATTTATAATAATTTAATATTTATTTATAATAATTATATTAATTTTAATTTTTAATGTTTAATAATAATTAATAAAATTATATTTTTAAATGTTAAATTTAATAACTTATTTTATTTTTAAACCTTATTATTAAAAATCGATAAAAATAAATAAAAATGTAATTTATTTTTTAAACTTATTTATATAATTTAATTTTATAAAAAAAAAAATTAATTTTATATTAAATAAATCTTTAACTTATAAAAATTAACATTATTAAATTTATTTAATTAAATAACAGCTTTTAAATTAATATTTAATTAAATTTTTAATTATAACGTTACGTAAAACTTTAATAATATAATAAAAAAAATATTAAAAAAATAATTAAAAATTATAACTTTTTTAACGTTTATTAACTTATTTAACTTAAAAAAAAAAAAAAAGTAAAAGGTAATTTATATTATTACTTATTAATTATATATATACGTAAAATAAAATATATTTATATATTTAATATAATTAAAATTAAAACGTAAAGTTAAATTAATTATATTAAAAAATAATTAATAACGGTTTTTAATAATTAAAACTTTAATTATAAACTTATAAAAATACTTTTATTTAATTTAATTAATTAATATAATAAATAATCTTATAAATATTAATATAACTTTATAATATATTTAATTATATAAAAATTAAAAACTTTTTTCGATTTAATTAAATTTAAAATTAACTTATATATTTTATTTAAAAAATATATATTTACGTTTTTAACATACATTAACATTAAAATAATTAATAAATTTATTAATATTTTATAATCATTAACATTATTAATCGTTTTAAAAGGTAAAACCTTAATAATTAAAAAAGCATTTAAATTTAAAACCCCGTTTATTAAAACATTATTAATAAAAAAAATACCGATTAAACCATTTAAAACATTTAAAATATTTAAAGCCTTAAAAATCTTAAAATATATAATTAAAGTATTTATTAATAATAATAACATACTTATAAAAAATTTTTATATTATAATAAATTTAAATAATTGTTATTTATATAATTTTAAACCGTATAAAATTAATTAATATAAATACAATTAAATTACTTTATATTATTAACTTATTAACATTTATAAAAATATTATTAAATAATTATAATTAAATTTTCTTAAAAATTAATTTAAATAAGAAAAATTTAATTAAATTATTAAAAAATTTATATTAAAATTTAAAAAAATCGTTAATTAATTTTTAAATTAAGTTTATAAAATAAAAATAAAAATTAAAAAATACATTAAAATTAAAGAATTTAAAAATAAAAATATAAATTAAAATAACTTTTAACATTATTTTAATATTAAAACTTATTTAATTAGTTTTTTAAACGTTAATTTATTATTTTTTTATTAAAATTATTTTATTATTATTAATATTATTAATTTTAAAAAATATTAAATAAATATAATATTATTAAAATTAATTATAAAATATTTTTACGTAATTTATATAATCGTATAAAGTTTATAAAAACTTTATATTAAATAATTTTTTAATTATAACTTTTTATAATTATTATTATTTTTAATAATTAATTATAATATTATTAATTATTATATATAATAATTTTAATTATACGTTTAATTACTTTTTTTTATTATTAAATATTAATTATTTACATTAATTAATTTAATTATATGTTTAAATAAAATATAATATTATTATTAATTATTTAAAATTTATTTTAAAACTTTAATATATTAAAATAATAAATTATATTTATTAAAAAATTATAACTTTTATTTATTAATTACTTTTTTTTATTATTAAATATTAATTATTTACATTAATTAATATAATTATATATTTAAATAAAATATAATACCATTATTAACCGTTTAAAATTTATTTTAAAACTTTAATATATTAAAATAATAAATTATATTCGTTAAAAAATTATAACTTTTATTTATTATTATTAAAAAAGATTAAAAAATAAATATAATTTAAAAATTTATTTTATAAAAGTTTTAATAATATATATTTTTATTAATACGTAAAATTAAAACTTTAAAAAAAATATAAAGTTATATAAATTTAAATTATTATAAAAAATTTTAAAAAGTAAATTATAAATATAATTTAAATAAAAATATTAAAATATATAAAATTAATAAATTAAATGGTTAATAATATATTTTATATTTATAATTTATATATAATAAATATATTTATTTAATTTTTTTAATAAAAAGAATAATAATATAAAATATATATACTTTATAACCTGCGTTTAATTTAAACACTATCAGTTTTAAACGTGGCCCCGAACTTGACTTCCTCTCCTGCTGTTCCTGCGTTTGATATAATTTGTTGATAAAGTTAAGGATATCTGTCAATTGTGAACATTCATCTAAGGCGTCCAAGACACAGATAACTTCACTTGACCTAGGGTCCGAAACAGCTTTTTCGAATACCCTAGTTAGGGTATTGAACTCCGTCAGAATACTGGAGCCTTTCGAGTTGCGCGCATCCAATATGTGGTCCATTAGTACTTTGTTTTGTAAGAAGATCTGGTGAAGGATAGCCCTGAGAGCTATTGTAGCGATATCTCGGTCGCTGGTTCCTTCTTTGAAAAAGAAATAGCATATTGTTTCCAGAGGGCCTTCTCGGTGTCTGGTGGCCTCTAAATGATCAATAATAAATCTGGCCAGTGTAGATTTACCGCAGCCTGCATTTGCCGATACCCATAGAAGACTAGAATTCTCTTCGTCTTTCCATCTCTGGTACTGAGCATGCTGGAGGAGCCACTCGCAAGTACCCGGCGCACGCTCTTCGTTAGCATTCTTTAATGCTTCGTAGTTGCAGGGATATAATTCTTGTAAGCACATTACTTCCGCTTGAGAAAGTTCTAATAAGCGCATTAGCCCTTAACGCAGCTCACAGCATATGTTCGATGTTCTAGAACGTGCCCGTGCCCGTGCCTGTGCCCTCAACCCGAAATATGTCATCATATAAACATCTAAGTGTATCCAATACAAGTCGCAATCTTTGCCGGTCCTCTTTTGTATTCGAGAATTTGCACAAAGATCTGTGGTCCCCATTCAGTGGAACAGGGGTCTCATTTGGTCTAAGGAGCACAGCTGAATTCTTCGGTACAATCTATGAGTTATATTAGTAAAGTTCTTAGTTCTTATAAAGTACAGAGACGCCACAAGATCTCGCATTCCGGGCAATACTAGGAGTACATACCACAAGACTAGTCCCGGGGAGTTTACGCGTTTCGTAAAAGCTCACGATTTTGAGGTCGTTGCACCGATCCACGAACGACAGGGATATCTGAAACAACCTTTCCGACTGGTTCTTTAGATCCTTCAAAGGTGCAGTATTAATGTTCAAATTAAAAAATGCAGCTTTGAGTACGTTGAACAGATGTACGGCCCAATCTGCGGCCGACGAGCCTTGGTGAGGGGTGCCGAAAAAAGCCACCCCTCGAACATGACTTAGAAGTTCCTTATAATGATCACGCTCATGGGCACGGATTAGGGCCTAAAGCAGAATCAAAGTCAGCATCTTTCAAAGTTCGCAATTTTCATAGATAGAGAAATAGAAGGCGGGTATACAATACCTTCTTGAAGATAATCCCCCCGAGACTATGGCAAAGAAAGAGGACTGGCCGGTTCTTGTCTCTTAGGTTGGATCGCCTTATTTTCAGCTCGTGGAGGAGTTGGTCGGCGAAGTCGCCAATATCAGCGACAGACCTGGTGAAAACAGCAGAGTCGTAGCCAAAAGACATGATTCTCGCAGTCGGAAACGTCTGCGGAAGAGCTGATTGAAGCCAGTTATAATGCTGATCCGAATCTGAAGATTCCGCGCTCCAGGTCTTGATGTAGTGCCCATTCAGACCATGTACTGCCACAATATCGACTCCATCAATCTGTTCTGAGGGCTGGTCCGCCAAGACTTGCAGTCCATACTTCGCGTCGTATCCCGAGCTGGACTCAGCAGTAGATTCGCTAAGTGTTGATTTAGGCTTACTTCGGGAGAAACGAGAAAATATCTGATGAAATTTGCTGGAGGGTTTCGACATGATGGAAAGAACTGTCAAAATGTATGTCTCAGGTAGTTAAAATCATCTGGTCATGGTAGTTCTAATATTTGAATTTGGAAAGATATATAGAATATTAGGTTGCAAGGAGGAAGGCTGTGGCCCATCAACAGACGGTAGTGAGGCAGTACCGCTTAATATAAGCGATATATCAGGAAACTGCGGGCACCAATTATTAGTTGCAATAACGCCCGCGAATAAGCCGCAAGATGGCTTATATAAACTCGCTATTCAACCACTCAGTAACATCATAAGCCACACTAGAGTACTACCCTCGGTATCCCATAAGAGCCTCCGTAATAGGTACTTGTATAGCCCCCTTTACTCCGACATATCAAGACCTCGGCTCACCAATCCGAATCTGCCTCTTCATCTCCTCCCTCCTCTTCTCCTTCCTCGTCTCCTCCGAGCCAATCCCCAGCCCCAGCCCCAACCCCAACCCCCGACCTATCCTCAACGACTTCGCCCTCGACAAGAACCCCTTCACCGTCGGCCCCCTCTCCTTCTCCTTCTCCTTCTCCTTCCCCCGCGCCTCCCCACCGCTCTGCCTCGACGCCTTCGCGAACACGAACGCGGGCAGGGTAGACACCCGGTTCCGCTTCCTCGCGACGCTGTTCTGCTCCGCCGGGCTCTGCTTCTGCTTCTGCGTCTGGCGCGCGGAGCCCGAGCTGTCTTGCCGCTGCACCGCGGGCTCTACGCCCGGGAACGGCGTCTTGACGTAGCTGTCTGCTAGCGGGCGCTCGCTTAGTTTCAGGGGCGGCGGCGCGTGGGCTGCCCTCTTACTGTTGGCCCGCGACCGCGTCGAGAATCCGTCTATGGCGCCGGCGAACGCGACTTTGGGGCTGGCGGTTTGCGACTGGCTATCGGGGTTATTCCCCAAGCTGGTGGGTGATAGCGGCTCAGTATTGATGGTCGGTGGGTACCCCTGATTTTCATCGTCGAGATGACGCGAGAGCCTGAGGTTGGGATCAGAAGGGAATGAGGTTGGAGGATGTATCACGGTGCCACTTATAGGGCTCCCCGGATCACTATACCGGAGGTTGATTTGCTGGTATTGGAACTGGTGCTTTTTGTTTAGAGTATCAATCTCCAACGTAGGAAGTAGATCCGCCGACGGATGATATACAATAGGATGCTTCTCATATAAAAATGGCTGTCGACTAAGATATATCTCCTCTCCCGACGAGGAGTTATGACTCGCACTTGAAGAAATTCCCGATTGCAGGCTACATGTAGACTCGTTAGGTGAGATCGGTGAGACCTGGTATTGCTGTAGGTTCTTATTCTCAGCTAAAAGCCCTGAGACAGGGCTAACGACTATATCATCGGGCTCGCTCGTCTCCAGAATCATGCGGGCTGGATATCTTGGCTGTGGCGCTACTATTTCTGATTCTTTCTCTGAACGTGGTGAGGACGGCATCAGCTGAAGCGGCTGCACCACGGCTAACCCGGCTTCATCGAGCACACCTGGATTGACATCGGGACAATCCAGTTCATGTTGGTCATCTGAAGTGGATAGCCGTTGAGCACTCTCGATTGGGTAGAAATGAATAGACGAAGAACCAGGATCCGGTCGTGGAGGAAGTGCCTTTTTCACATATTCCGGTATGTCTGCCGGCGGCGGATAGTGCCGATGTATTCCAATATTCCAGTCCATTCCCCCTTGGTCATTATCATCGTATTGATTGGTTATGTTATCGCCCGAGGCCATCTCACAACATATGTAACTATACTTTTTTCGAGCGACCCGGAAGCAGCAGCAGGGGAACCAGCACTACGCATCTTAATAGCCAGGCATCCCATATTTCGCTGCTATAGCTGAACAAAGAATCCCGAGTTAAAGTCTCGAGGCATGCGTCCGGATCAGTTCGGTGACGCGAATACCGGCTTCTTTGTCCGTTGGGGTAGAATAAAGGCAGGTAACTCGAGGGCCATGTTCAATGCCTATAAAACGTGGCAATGTTACTCGGAAGGTTATGCCCTTGCTTGATTAGATGTAATGACAATAGGATAGAAATGAGCATACACATCCCGATCAAATAGGCCATGCATGTTTTGGTGGCGAACGTACCTTGCTACCATAGTTGAAGAAGACTGGCTTTCAAGAATAATCTCGATCAATTGTCATGGCGCTCGGGTCGAGCAGCATACATTATTATATATCCGGTACCCATGTGGTAGACCTAATGTGATGCAAACTGCATGAAATCCCCTCGCCCGTTTTCATGAATGAACCATCGCCCATAGACTCCAGATCCATACACCTTCAAAATATGAACACCCCCTTAAGTGACATAGAGAACCAGCCCTCAGACTAGCCATGCATATAGAAACTAACAAAATCGAGACTGCAGACGCTGTTGCAATGTACCACCCTCAGACTGGATGTTTAATAGATCCGCTAGGCAAATTCAGCAATACTTCGCCCAGGATCGCATTACCTCAAATTCCATCATATACAATTACTTCCCATTACCCTTCGCCTTACCCTTTCCTTTTGCCTTGTTGCCCTTCGCGGCGGCAGCTTCAGATTTAGAATAGAAAGTCTTCGTGTCGTTACCGAATAATTCCTGGTCGCCTTTGCCACCCATTTCCATAAATTCCTTCGTACCTCGCTGATCTGCAGGCCGGGGTTCTTTCGGAGGTGCATCGTTTTGCTCAACATCGGGATTCTTCGCAAAGACCTTTACAGGACCCTTCTTAGCCTCGGGGCTCAGAGGGACCTTATTAGCAACGTGCACCGAGTTGATGGAACTGAGTAACGTCCGCTCTCGAACCGCGCCTCGCCGTTGCATTTCAAGGCCCCCAATCCCGGCCACGAGCCCATCCGTACTATCATTGACACCTAACGTCTTCTGCGTTATCCACGGATGCGCAAGGCACTGATCAACCGTAAAACGCTTCTCGGGTTCAACAACCAGCATGTGATCAATGAGGTCCACTATCATTTACAATTAGTTACAGGACTCAACGAGCAAGACACCACAAACCGAAAATAATGAGGACTTACATGCCGGGTCTCCCACTGAATCCCAGTATGGAGAAGGATAGTCGAATCGCCCGCTCTTAATCTGCTGCGAAAGTGTATACGGGAAATCGCGGCTGTAAAGTTCATCCGAGAAGGGGGGGAAACCGCACAAGCATATATACAGCACGACTCCAAGCGACCAAATATCGACAGCCTTGGTGTATTTTCTATGCCTTCCTTCTGCCAGTATCTCTGGCGCAACGTAACTTGGTGTACCGCATAGAGTGGTCGTAAAGGACTCCTCACCGATGATCTTGGCTAGACCAAAATCGGCAAGTTTAACCTGGAGATCCTTATCAACTAGTAAGATATTCTCTGGTTTCACATCTCGATGGACAATATTTCTATCATGCTATTTCAGTTGTTAGCCATGCCAAGAGTAGAGAGGGAACGGGAGCTATACCAAGTACTTGATACCCTGGAACAACTGAATGAACAGTTTCCTCGCTTCGGACTCGCTTAGCTTCTGCTTCATTACGATGTGATTGAATAGTTCCCCTTCAGGCGCAAGCTCGAGCACCAAATATACAGCATTCTTCTCGTTGAAAGTATCTTTCAGGCATAGGACGTTAGGGTGGCTGACTCCCATCAACACTGCAATTTCCTGCTGTAGACCATCTGTCTTCGACCTCTCATCCATACCAGGGTTTTTCGTGAAAACCTTTACAGCGTATCTTTGCCCAGTAGATTTCTCTACGCACAGATATACTTCGGCGAAATGACCCTTGCCCAAGCGGTCCAGGAGCGTGTATTGCTGTAAAAAGGCACTGGAAGCTCGAGTTCGTGGATAGCGAAATATGAATCGGGCCTTGTCCATCACCGCAATTTCATCCTGTTCCTGTAATTCACGGCGCTGATTTCTTCCGACGATGGCCTCGTTCACAAAAGTTCCGTTACTAGAGATGTCCTCCAGAATAGCAATTGTGTCATCACCCTTATTCTCAGTGAATATTAGGCAGTGTCGGTTGGAAACAATTGGATCATCCACGATGATATCTAGCGGAAGTCAGCACATATTCGAGCCATAGCAGAGCTTAGGACGACAAAAAGGAAAAACACTCACCGCACTCAGGATGTCGCCCAATCAAATATCCGCCAGATGGTATACCCTTGACATTACACTTCTCGGAAGTTTCTTCCTGCTTTAGGGCACCGGCGTCGGTTGCATCAGACTGTTCCTTTGCCAGTGCACCCGTAACATCAGGGGGCGGTTGACAGGAAGTACGTCTTTTCAAGACGACACATCTACCCCCGTGTTTAGGGTCTAGCGGGAAGAGGTATCCCCAAACACCTTCCTTCTCCTCATCCTCGACCTCGTCAGAGAGAGCGGCATTTCCTTCAACATATTGGGAAGTCGGAAAGGCTTGCGTATCTTGCGGAGGAGAGGATAGCCTTTGAGCTTGGGAGAAGGTTTCCTCGGGAATACGGTGGGTGACCTGACTAGGCCGTCCATCCGGGGGCTCGGCTGTTGATTCCTTGTACAATTCGTCGCTATCGCCTTGATGAGTGAGGGGCGAGGGTAGCTTTTGCTTGTTGGTGATGACTGGTGTTTTTGGCTGTTCGCTATTTTCTGTCTTCTGCGACAATCGGCCAGATCGACGAGGCTTCTTTGAAGTATCGCTGTCGGTTTTAGAAGGAGGAGACTCCTATGAGATACAATTAGCCGAAAGGAAACGCGAACAAATCAAGGGTAGATTGAAGTACCCTTCCCCGTTTCAACTGACTCTTCTCGCGTGGAGCCATGGTTGGCTGCCTTGAGCGAGGATGTACTAAAATTCGAATGCCACCAACCAACAGAGAAGAAGTGGTAAAAAGACGGGAACAACAAGTTATGTCTAGCTCTATAATATAACAGGGGGGGCTGTAGGATGCTGCCTTGGAATCCCAGCGAAAGAAGCGAGTCCAGATGAGTTGATGTAAAAATTTGTTATGACGGGCGAAGATGAAAAAGCTTATTGGTATAAAAAGGCCCCCAATTCGCAAAACTCCGAGCAGATTGACATTACAATGGATACAATGGGTACCTCATAATAATAAGGGACGGTCCAACGCGAACACGGGACTACCTAAAGTAGCGGCTGAGCACCGACAGAACAGCCAGGGAAAGTCCAGGGGAGTTGTATACCCTAGGTACCTTCCCTCATACGGAATATTTCACCGAATATGTTGAGTCATAACGAGAGGTTAGGTATTTGTTCAGCTGCGTTTCTGCGAAAAGAAAAAAAAAGTATAAAAACTCAAATGGTAGGTTAGTCATATGACATTAGTTATCCGTGATTTCCGCTAGAAAAGAGAGAAATCATAAAAGACTGAAACTACGAGATTGTCTAAAGACAGCTGATACATAGTGGGCGAGGTCATCCCCAGGTTCCTTACCTGAAAAACCTAAACTCAATGGGCGCCTGCTGCTATTATCGGTAAGTGGGGAAGCTCCCCCCGTTCCACCCAAGCTTTGCTATAGGGCTGTGCAACATCGGAACATGTACCCTTTCAATGCACCTTGTGCTGGTCCCACTTCTTGCGCTTTCAAATTCCGTCATTCGAGATTCCCGCCCTTTCCTGTACAACTCTACATACGAAGTATGTACCTACCTCTCCTACGGTGAACTTTATTATCGGATGCCTTACCTAAACTGACAGGTACCTTATGTACATCCCCTTATTACCTACAAGCACAAGATCTGATGTTTATAATCTTACGTATTTATGTAGTTAAGTATATCTCAAGTTTTGAATAATTGCATGTGAGATGATCATGATGAACAAAAGGTGCTTACTTGACTTTCTGTACAATCCCAATACATACAATTTGTACGTTTCTGAAAAGAAAGTAGCAACTTTACTCGATGTAAGGCTTAGTATTGGTCACGCGTAGTCTTGCTCCTTGACATTTCGGCACGCCCCAGTTTCAGGTGATAATTTGTAAAAGCCACCTGCAGCGCCTCACATGCCTTACGATATCCACGAGATTCATTAACCCTATAAGTAGAGTAACGACCCATTTCTAAGAATTTTGGTATTCTACTATAGCATACGTAGCTCAAAATGTACAGAGGTGCAGATTAATGGGCGGGTCATACCTTATAGTACGTATATATCATGTACCTAGGTAGGTAGTTATTACAAGTCATAATTGGCTCCTAGCAGCAGCATAGGAAACATAAAGATAGAAGACGAAGTCATCACTTTCATAGTCTTCCCACCACCTTAAAATTCATATCTAAGAGGTAATTACTACCTTCGTTGTACACGATTAAAATTATGAGTACACCAGTACACATCTCCATCCTGATGAATGGGTTCCCTCTCCATCCAATGGTTCAAAGCCATGTGCTGGTATCATGACTCAGAATGCCGACCCGATATCCTTAACTACTGCTATGGAAATAATATCAGCAGTCCACCGAGAGCCTTTGAATTAATTTGGTATTCTCCTCAGAATGCTCCATAACGCCGTGAACAAAGAGATCCGCACTCTTTTTAGACCTGAAATTTCATATATTCTTTACCAATGCCAATTCATTTAATGCAACCCCGGCCATCGTCATATAGAGTCATTTTCGTCAGTTCGTGAAGCAAACGTCGTCGTCGAATCAATCGCATGACGAGGCGGGGGAGGCGTCACAATCCTCAAAGGAGGACAGAAGATCAGCGGGCAGAAAGGTGGGAGGGTCTTAGAGAGGTCCAAACGAGGTATTTGGAAGAAGGAGCGATTCCATCGCCGTTTCTACCGTTCGGAAGTGGATGAGGATGAATTTGAACCTGTGACATTTGACTTCCGTCGACTGGGCCGATTCTTCTGTGAATCCGACAAGGGAGATGAAGATGAGAGTGACGTGTTCGACTTCCGCCGTTTCTACCGCTCGGGAATCGGCGACTTGGCTAGCCGTCCACCCGCGCTGATGCGCTTTTGTAGACGTGCGTCCTTATCGCGCTGGATTCGCTCGCTCGGGCTGGGACTTAAACTGCCTGATAACGAAGAGCCCGAGGCCTCGATAGCAGCATTCCGACCTCGTTTCTGCTCTATGTACATCTGTGCGCTTCGACTCAGCGGGAAG